GCTCCTTGTCAATGGGCATCCCATTCCACTGCCAACAGTGTGTCACCATTTATTAAGTCATCATTACTCAAGGCTGCTCCAGCTGCCGAGGTGCCAATGGCTGTCGCAAATAGATCGGCAGCGATAGGCCAGGCTGTTGCTGCGCTCCCCTGAAGGGTGACCCGCTCGGGCGTGCTCCAGCACATCTCTCCGCCAGCGAAGATCGACGCCGGTAGCCAGGCTGGCGCTGGTACGGCTAATGCAGACAAATGGAAGCGGGGTCATGGATCAGGGCAGAGGAGAGAGACAGAGGTCTGCAGCGATGCGCTGAGTGAGAGAGTGCTTTCACGCGTCTGTCCGCACCTCTTTTTGTTTTGGGTAAACAATGAAAAAGGTTGTTTAGACTAAAAGGGTGATGAAACACGAGGCTGGGGAGGCTGAGGTTTAGGAAGTGAAGGCACAATGGAAGGCATGGCTGCATGCAAAATACACACATGGAAATTCACTTACATCAGTCTAAATAGAGAAGGGAGCCTCTAAACAAGCAAACATTTGAATATTTCAGCACAACAGTTGATTAGAATTGATCCAAAAATGTATCTGTACCTGTCTTCCTCCTCCTTCTCAAAATAATTAGGAAAACTGTATTCAAAAGTACAATGATATTTTAAAAAGTTATTTTTATACTTCTAATTTTGCAATAAAACAATAAAAGGGTTGTCCTGTTTTTGGCAATAATTCAAGTAAAACAAATCCTAATTTTTAACAGAAATTTTAAATGGATAGATAGTATAAATTGGCGTTGTTTGAAATGGGTGCTCAGCTATTTATCTGTTTTTGTTTTTGTTTTTTTGTTTTTTCATTTTCTACTTTTAGGTTTTTGGCCATTTTAACTTGATGGGAGAAAATAAACTTCATGCAACATTTTTCTGTTTTGTCCACTTAAATGTTTCAGGTCATCATACACAGTTTAATATTAGTCAGTTTTTCAAATGATGACTTAATTTAAAGGGTAAGAAAAATCTTTTGCAAACTAAATTTTGTTAGTTTGCAAAAGATTCATAATCATGAATCATTCATAATCATGAATCATTAATTCATGATTATAAATCATGAATTAATAATCATGAATTAAAATCACCTTGATTTTTTTGTTGGGTTCAATTCTACAGAGTGGATTACTACAGATTTGTAGAATGGAGAAATTGCTTGAAAAGAACATTACAAGACAACAAAATGCAACACATAATGACTTAAAAAAAAACATCTACTAATTGAGAGAGGGTCGAATCACTAACAACCATTAATGGATAATGAATTTTTCTCCGTGGACTCTCAAGGAGAATCTGAAAAGTTTTAGAAGTTGTATGCCATTATGTCTGGCATAAAACTAACACAGCCTTTTTACATAAACAGCACCATAACATAAACTGGTGTAATGGCGTGAGGCTGCTTCAGAACCTGACCAACCTGCTGTAATGTATATAACCAAAATATTCTACTTTCTGCAAGAAAATATTGAGAGAGCATGTCAGTGAATCAGTGCCATGACTTTAATCTGAAGCGTATGTGGGTTTTGCAGCAGGTCTTTGATCCAAAGTACACCAGGCGACAAAGCCCATCTCTTAATAGCTAAGAGAAATAAGTTCATGTTTAAGGGAGGCTGAAATTAAAACTATTATGTAAAATTAGCCAAATTTTTTCCACATCAATGTCTAAGCCTGATTGACAGCTATTTCCAACACTCAATGGTAGTTGTTACCTCCAAGGGTGGCATGACCAGATTTAGTGGTCAATTACTTTTTTCACAACAGGAAAGGTTGGTTTTGATAGCTTTTTCCCTTGTAAAAAACAGCTTTTTTATTTGCTGAGGTTACCTTGTCTCATTAAAATTTTTGTGGGGCCCAATTTGTGGAGCTTTCACACTGTTGACTGTAAAACAGAGTTTCCCCCCAATATAATCAACAGTTAAGATATACATAACATTTAAACATTTTGAAGACTGTCTACATCATTTGTGCAAATTCTAGCAAGAAAACAAAACTTTTATGTTGAGTGTTATGGTCTTAGGTAGAAAATCCCCTTTTTACAGACATAAAATTATCAAAACGGCGATAGATCTTGAAAAAGGAGCCTTATAAAACTAACTAAACAAGGAGTTCTTCTATATAAATAGCAGCCAGTGAAGCAGACATTTAAATATAATCATATTCAACTTTGCAGAACAGTCTATTTTAAGAAACAAATCAGATTAAAATCCCAAATCTAAACTGCTTTAAAAGTCCTGCACCCCAAAAGCACTACCAAAGATTCGGACTGAAATGTGATCTGTAAACAATCGACGACAGACTCAAAAATGTGAAATCAGATACGCTTTATGTTACAGCAGCAATAGTTTCAAAACACGCAACGTGCATGGAAGAGCAGGGAAATGCGGGCGCCCTGATGGCACATAGTTGCTTACAACACACCACTAACCCCAGTTCTCAGGTTGTTTTCCTTTGCTATCTCGATGTGTCTGGGTTGACACATCAGCACTCCTGTTTATCAAAGCTTTTATCACCTCACCGCTGCCTAGTCAGCCCTTAGAGGAAGCAGGAGGTGCCCTCACACACACACACACACACACACACACACACACGCACTGCAACCTGTAGAGGCTGGCTAAGGTTAAGAGAAGGGGGCTTTGTTGACCTACATCAGTGATTTGAATGACTTTACCAGAGACAGGATCTGTCCCAGACTATGCAGGTGACCCGCCAGCATGTTTTCCTCTTAACTGAATAGTTTCATCTGGAAAAGTCAAAAACACGCTTAGACCTCATTCTCTGAGTGGAGAATAATGCAACTCTTACACCATGTGTGCTACTCTCCCAGAAGAAGACACAAAACATTTAAGGCTAATTTGAGCCACTTGCTTCTGATATCTTATTCTCATAAATAATGGTCGTAGGTGACTGTCGGGATGGAAACAAAGTGGAAAATTGACAGGTTGGCTTTATGGCTCGTTCTTCGGCCAGAGAGACCAGATTAACGGCCTAGTTAAAGTGCACAAGGACCTAATTTGTCTACGTATTTCCCTTAGCACCTTTCTGTCGCTTACAGAAGAGACATTTTGTCCGTCATTTACCGACACTTGGTGTACGTCACCGCAAAGCAAAAGGGAAAACACCCCAGGCGATCAGTACTTCCTTTTAGACACTGTACATTGATAAATAAATGGCCAGGTTTAGATTTTAATCCAACTAAACCTGGATAAATAAAGATTACATGAAATCTTCATAAAAAAAAAAAACCCTCAACTCTGACATTTAATTGCAATTACTTTTATAGTATGTCTTATTTTAATTGAGGTTTTACTTCTCATTTTAGCCAGATGACCACGTGAAACATGACCAATTATGACCCCTGCTTGGTAGTAGATTTTGAGTTTTCCTTCCCAAACAAGTTGAGTACAAAATGACAAAGACTCCAAAAATGCAACTGGCAAATTACAATCGAAAGCAAATAAAAGAAACCTCCAGGAACGTTGAAAATAATCTAATAACTTTAGATCTAACATACAATTCAGATTTTTTTTTTCCTGCTAAGATAAGTGTCTTAAAATGGCGATTCCTTTAAACCGCCAAAGAACATAGCAACTGCACATGGAAAGTAAACAAAATTGTACAATTGAAAGGAAAAAGCAGACATTTTTGTGAATCAATTTTTCCTGTTATTTTTTTTTCTTTTTGTTGTGACTCACTCTTTCGAAACCACATATCACATTAAGTGGCCTTCCATCGGCAGGTTTTGGTGGAGTTTCTCTGCTCTGAATAATAATATTATTTAAAGTGAATGCTTCAGAGTGAGTCAGCCGTCGAGATGGAGCAAAAGGTGTGGTGGTTACTAACCAAAAACACAACTTGGAAGAAGTCAAACCAAAACAAGTCCATGGAAAGACAAAGAAGTGGTTTCTAGGATATTTAAAAAAAACATTGGTGGTACCTCTCATTTAAGAGGAAGATATTCCATCAGAAATTGAATTTGTTAATGAATTAGCATTTTCTCTCTTTCCCATATGTATTTTGCTTTTAAAAACGGCAAGATCCTCCTACAAATCAAGCAAATGTACTTGACATAATTTACTAGGCAGAAACTGTGGATTATCTACTGAAACCTTTGGTACAGTAGCTGCTTATGATGTGGGCCACGTGGCTCTTTGCATGGGTTAGCAATCAAATGACTTTATGTTGCTTATTTGCATGTCCAATCCCTTGTATTCTGCACAAAGCCTAAGAGAAAAATAAAAAGAATAACAGTTTCATAGTTGGAAAATTTTGGTCTATTTAAAACAATGTTTAATTTGAGCTAGCTTCAGACAGAATTGTTTCACATCAGCCCTACTACATATTTAAACAGATGACGGCATATTGACTATGTTTATCTTTTTTTTTTATTTACAAGCTCCATTGTTAAATATATCTATAAAAATATAGCAGAAACAAACCCTTTCATGAATTTTAAAATGTTCTTTTCATTTAAGCTCATGCATGCAAAATCTGAAAGATTCCTTTTAGTCAAGGGTTTCATAAATTTTTTTTGACAGCTCCCTCTTCTGGATTCCTTTTTTCTTTTTCTTCCTCTTTTTTTTTTTTTATTCTCGAGTAGATTAACTCTGCTTTTCAAGCACCCTAATAAACCAGGTAGGGGAACCCAGTGATTAAACTTTAAATTTCATGGTCAGACAGTTAGTGGCAGAGGAATTAACACAAGGGAAGGCGTTTCACTGCTGTGAGGGAGAATAAATTAAGACGAGGGAAAAAAAAAAAAAAAAAAAAAACGACAAAGAGCAAAGGAAACGAGTGCGGAAAAGTCAAGACTATAAATCTTAACCATTCTACTTCCTCTCTATGACACTGCCTTCATCACTGCTCTCAAGTAATACCCCACCTCCTCTTTCCTCCTGCTCTCCCTCCCTCTCTCTCTCTCTCAGCTGCTCTGCCTCCCCTCCCCTCCCTCGTTGTGGATGGTGTAGCTCTCTCGCAGTCTGGTGGAGCTGCACACAAGGATTAGAGGGTTGTTGTGAGTGTCTGCTCAAAGAGTGGGAGCCAGTGGACAGAAACAGATAAAAAAAAAAATTAAAAAAAACTCTCCATCAAGAGGATAGCCTTGTTATACCGGATAAGTGCTCTGATTTTATTTCACCCTGCCTCTACTTCTCATCACAGTCGAGCTGAAGGGTCTTCACCTGGGGGAGGACAGATAAGCCAGTCAACTATACAGCTTGGATTTTCGCACGGGGAGCCATGTGAGCTGCACTCCCCTCTGCCGACTTCACGCAACAGAACTGCCCCAACAGTCTGCACTCCCAAGACCCAGGAGCACAACTAGGATTTGCCCACCTTTCTCTCCCTGGAACCTCTACTTTCAGCGCTTGCACACCTCAGCGGAGGACACCTTTCTTGGGGTCGGGCTCTGAGTGGCCCCCTGGTCTGGAGGCCAGACAGCAGCACTCCAGCACCATGGATTACCTGCTTCGGACTGTAGTGCTGCTGTGCTTCACGTTGCAGCCGGGGAGAGGAGCTGATCCCAAGCACAACGTTCCCAGACTAAAGCTGTCATTCAAGGGTAAGCCCATTCCTTGTGTCTTCTGACTCCAGGTTATATGGGGATTGCTTGTGTGCTCTTTGCTTTTAAACCGGAGCTGCTTTTCTTGCCCACTGGGTGCTCTTTAGTGCTGTTCTTTTCATCTATTCTTTGGCATGCTGAGTATCCCTTTTTCTTCCTTTATCAGAGTAAGTCTATTTCTGCTTCTGTGTGCGTCTCTTGGTCAGCGCACAAGACCTGCCTCTCCGTATTCCTTCCTCCAATTTCCTTGCTGCTCCCCTCTCACTTACGCTGACCGTCTCCAAGAATTCGCGATTCTCCCTACAAATGGGGAGATTGTTTCCATATGCTGTGGAAGCACTCCTGCCTCAAGTTAAATGTATATATTGGCCCTGTGTCATTTCTCCTCTTCTGCTCGTACAGCCCTGTTAAGTGCAGTGAACAGGCAGCAGAGCCTCAGTTTTTGTGACTTCTGTCCCAAAATCTCACCCCCCCACCCCCCAAAAAAAAAAAAAAAAAAAAGGTGGGTTTTCGGTGAACTTAATATAAAT